AATTTATATTATATAGTAGGATTAAATTAATAATAGATTTTATTTACGTAATCAGCGATTTTATTAATTAAAGTGATCGATTAAATATTCTGGGTCAGCCATCTCGAATTATAATATGTCAGAAATACGTGCAAATAATTTTTGTAACTTGACGTGCGCGTAAACGAGATTGTCTCTGTTTGATAAAAAATGGTTCATGAAATGAATGTAAATCGTAAAATTTATTTGCGCACATTTCCTCATTGTCCAAGATATTTGACGTAAGCGTCGAGAAACTTCAATATACGTTTCAAAGACTTTCGTACCGTATTTTGGCATCAAACTGCGGTTGCGACTGTCAGCCTTCTGTCGAAGAGATGCCCCCCGTGTAATTTGTCAGAATAACCATATTATCCGCGATGCAGTCTTGAGAGACTCTCCTGGACAGTTGCACTCACTCCGGATCGTAGTCGCGCTGCAGACAACGGATCGATCTGGAGATCGTTTTGCGCTGATGCGCCGTGCTCCGTCAAGTGTTGACGGATTGCCTGACGAACAGGTACTCGGAGAATTGCTGGCCCTCGACGCCGCCGCCGTTGCTCGCGACCACCCGGAAGCCGGCGTTCAGCAGTCTGGTGATCGCCTGGACCGAGTTAAGCTTGCAATAACCGTTCAGCGGAAACCTGATTACGTGACGGGCGTCCTGCTGGTGCCAGGCGACGCCGGATCGCGCGTCGATCACCGCCTGCGTCGTCTCCGGGAACACCTCGTCCAGGAGGGCTCGTCCGCCCGAAAGCATCACCCGCTCGCCCAGATCCGGGCTCACGTGTAACGCCACGCACTCGTAGCTGCAATTGCCGTCGTTACCGCGCATCTTCTCGGAATCGCGATTGCAAGGCCCGGTGGTGCAGGCTGTGGTGCCACGACCGGAGCCGAGTTGACCGGAGAGTGGCGGACTCGGCGATGACACTGTCATCATTGTTGTCGAGCCGTTTTTTATGCGCTCTTTCTTCATCTGTTCCAGTTGCCTGCACATCGCTGAAAGAGAGATACGTTTACGTTAGGTTCATGATCTTACGGTGGATTGTTAATTTAACGATGGATCATATTTAAGGATATTGACAATTAATTCGTTTGAAGTTTTGTAATGTTTATTTTCTGATAATATATTATTACATTTTATGTTTCTCGGGTATAAATATATATGATAAATTATGAAAGCGCTTTGAAAAATTTTCTACGTGAAGCTAGATTTTTATCGAAATGAAGTGTGTACACTGATTATATTGTCCCGAGGGACCAATTTCCTTATTTCCATTGCCTTATTTTTATCTTTTTATAACACTCAAAGTTCTGTGTATTACTTCTGTAATCCAGTAAACAACTACTTCAGAGTTTGTTATTACTATTCTATTACAGAGAGCTACATATTGCACAGTTGGAAGTCGGTCGAGAAAATTAGAAGAGAAATGATATATTGCCAAACGATATCGCGATTTGTACATTAACTCTCTCGGGTGATCTCTCGTCAGCCACGGGAATTGTTGCTCTTCTAATATTTTACGATTGACATCTTTTTTCATACAATATGTTTAAAAAATTGTTAAGTGTCACACAAGTGATTAAAGTTAAACAATGAAGAAAAAACTAATTGAGTAATCAACTTACGGGCAATATCAAAGTATCGTGCTTCTTCTAATAGTAAATCGAGATCGGCAAAGTTGTCGGGTATCAGTAGCCGGGAATTTCGCATAAAATTGAGTATGTGCCGGAACATGCCGCCGTCTCTATCGATAAAGTAATGTTGTTTTAGCGAATCCAGGACGATGGGGATGCTGCCATTAAACAATTTCGCTAGCCTAGATTCCGGATATCTGAAAAAAGTTACAATATTTTTTTTTAAATAAAATTATCATATGTGAAAGTAGCAATTTTTTATAGCCTATAAGCATCAATCGCAACAAACACACACATACATTGATAGCTGGAAGTGCGTTCGAGAAAGTCTTAAAGATTTATGCAAATTTTGAATAGATTAATATATCATCATAATTGATTACATTATCATTGAAGATGTAATATTGTATCGATATTCAAAGTCTAGGAAATTCAATATTGTAGAGATTTGCATCGCGTATTCAATGTAACAATGTGAGAATTGCGCTTTCTATCGACCAACAGTTAACTGAGTGTTGGCAGGTGCTGATACTTTGGTCACCTGCCGAAATCGCTTCAGGTACCATGTAGCTTCAAATGATGGTTCAGTACAAGCAGCTGTTCATTGAATAAATTCCGACTCAGCGCGCGCGCGTTGCTTATCATTAGTTAAATTTAACCGTACACAGTTTGATATACCAAAGTATCATAATCATTTTACAGAATTTTCGATGCATGTATGTATCTGTGTGTGTGTGTGTATGTTATAAATAATTTATTTATAATATATGTTTTTTTTCGCGTATATAAAATCTCTTATACATCAAAATTATATAGAGATATTAATAAATATTTAAAAATCAGAATATTTTAAAGTATCCAAAAATATCTCTATAGATTATCTGAGTAGATAAAAAAAGCAGAAAATAATAAAAATGACAGTTCTTCAGACTGAGGATAAAATAAAATAATTATTAAAATCCATTAGCTAAAATTATTTAGGACAAAATTCTGTTTTTTTTTCATTCAATTTAATTAAAAGAATTGTTTATTACTATCAGAGGAAATAAAGAAATAGAAAAGAGATATGCAGAATTCTATCAACAATTGTCACGCGTGAATCAGGATGTAACAACAGACTTGTTTACTTTGTAAAAATATTTAGGATAAGAACGTACGCGTGAAATGTGCTTTAATAGATATGCAGATGCACGCGAGTGTGTCTCGCAATGGCGGGTCCATTGCATCGTGTCACATTTTTCGGCTTCTTTAGAAAGTGCCCGTGACATTTTCGAGCGCGTTTCACAGCACACGTTTGCGGACACAACATCGTTCAAAGTAGGCTGTGACTAATCTTCTTATTATAATATCTCGACACTATCGTTGCCATTAAGATACCTACCGTACTTCGGAGTTATATCTCGAGAATAATGAGATTAATTTGACGTTTCGTTACGCGCTTAATCTCGCTATAAATTAAAGCAAGGAAACTAACAAAAAAATTATACTTTTTATTCATTTGTATAGAAAGATAATTAAATTTAATTTTAGGAGTCATCTTATCTTATTAGTCATATTGTGAGAAAATACATTAGAGCTAGTATGAAAAAAAATCTCCCATCTGTTCATTTGCAATTTCTTAAAATGTATATTTCACTTTCTCAATTTTTTTTCTATCAGCCTGATAAATTGATTTTGTATCAAATAGTCTGTTTTAGTTTCCTAAGAAGTACTTTCGATTGTATTTTTTAACATGTATTATTTACATGTACTATAAAGATTGATAAATTTCTTATTTCAACTGTAATATATTTGAAATTAATTTTATATAAGATTAAATAGTGTTAATAAAGTTAATAGCGTAAAGTTAAAATCCGAAAACTTATGGGGTTTGCTCAACGCCTGTGCTATATATAACAAAAGGTTAATAATGTTGCGACCTCGTGCATTGAAACGAATCGCTCTTGTCAAATCCACGTGTCAATCAGCTTCACGCACGCGTTTGCTCTGCGTGTCACGGACAGTGAGCCGTGTCCAGCGCGCATAGCCGAAGGTCATCGTAATTTAGCATATAATAGACGAGTGCTCTGGGAAAAGGACGGGGTAAAAGAAAAGAAAGGGCGAGAACGCGTGGGGAAGAGGATGGATAGAAGGTACGCGGGTGACTCTGAGGACTGCGAAGGAACGTTGAAGAGGAAGAGTCGGCTCTCTTCCTCTCCGCGTATCTCGTCGGTGCGTTATGGTACAACGAGGGGGAAATACCGAGGTATAGGTACTCGGTGCCCCCTCAGGCCGGTTCCCATACCTTCCACGGCGATAACATATAATAACGTCGGGCTCGTGGAGCCTGTGGGCGATCTGACTTTAGCGAGGAAGAGAGAAGAGAAGATACCGCGGGGTAGATACGAAGTGTATATACATATACATATATAGAGTGGCTCTCTCTCTCTCTCTCTCTCTTTTCCTTCTTCCTTCCCCTTTTTCATCCTTCGCGAGTCTCTTTCTTTCTCCTTCTCTCTCGTGATCTCGCTTTCTATCGACTTCCCATTGGGTACCTACGTACCTTGGCCCAAAAGGATAGAGAGAGAATCGCAACGCTGTCAGAATGGGGAAATGAAAATCGATGGATTTTACCTCAAAGCCTGCGCGAAATTTTATACGGTATAGTTAATTTTCCATAGAATGTCGAAACGAGTTATTGTAAGGGAAACTTCACTCTCTTCCTCGACGTGCAAGCCCGTTCCTATTCTTCGTCACAATTGCCGCAGGTATGTTAAAATTTACATTATAATTTCGGTCAGTGAAGACATGAAGATGATATACTTTCTATTTAAATGGATATCATGTTTCTTTTTCTTTTTAATACTCTTTTTTATCTAGCGCACAATCGATAAACTTTTTCTTCTTTTATGTTTAATTGATGCATTTAAAACGCAATAATAAATTTTTTAAAATAGTTGTCCAAAAATTGAAATAATTAATCAAAATTTAATTTTTTAATTTTAGGATTAATTTGATTTTTAGTTCTATAGATAAAGGCGTAACAAGCGTGCTAATAGAAATGGAAATGGAGAATAGACAGGGGAAGGAGCTTGCGTAATCCGCGTTAAGAAACAGAAAATAAGAGAGAAAGTACGAAAGTGATACCACCACGTCTCGACAAGCGTGAAGACGATGCGCTGCTAGGCCAAGGGCCAGCAATGTTTGTGGAGGTCGAGGCGACCGAAGAGGGGTGATAGCGGGGGAGGAAACGGTACCAGGGGCGGAGAACGAGTACCGTGATTACCCGCGGCGATTTCTTGGGCTCACCGACCAACCGAGGTCCGATCCCGGGTCAGATCCGTTCGCTATGGGAAAACGCTAAACGATCGGCTCACATCACTCAGATTCCGCTCTGTTTTATATGCAGAATGTATCCACAAAATCGCGCACTTCTTATCGCAAATTTCTTGATCATTCTTGGACTGACTAATATTTCTTTGAAAATATCTTGTGTGAAATTTTATATCATAAAAAAATATTTATTTAACAATGATAAATTAATATACAAATCTATAGCAAAAAATGTCAACCCTGATAAGCATCAGCTTGCTGATAATAGACATAGATTTTCTTTTAACAGAATTTTAAAATGTATTCATATTTGTAAAAATATTCAATCAATTAAGAAATCTATAAGAAAAAAAAAACTCATTATATTATTCATTCTCGTTTTTCGGGTCTAATTGTCGTTATTTTTGCAGAATAAAGAAGATTCTTGCTCGACGGAAAGATTTATTCTTACCGCGTTTTGTGTGATAATCGCATCTTATGTAGGGGAGAGTAGATAATTTAAATGAACGAATGTGCAATCGTGTGTGGCCGTTGTATATGCAGAACGTATGTATGAGCTCGAGAATGAGACACGTCCGCCAAGACACATTCCGTTAGATCCCGCTAAATTATACGTGTCGGGCTAGAGGGTGCGGAAATGACGACTTAGTACTTCAGCGTAGGATACCCTCGAGGCCCTATGCGGCCTCCTCGACCGGCAGGATGATCGACGATGTTTTAGGGATTATGTGATACCGGAAGCGTGGACTAATGATCGGCTATTACGCCATTTCTGTAAACTCTTGGTAGAAAATGTCGATACGAAACGATTAATCTTCCGCAAGACACGTGGAATTTCATGGTAATCTGCCTTCGATCGATATTATTAATGACCGCGAGCTAAAAATTGTACACAATGATATGTAAAAACAATTATCGAAGATTCTTGATTGTAATTTTATGAGGAATACTTTACTAAAAAATTGTAAATTATTATATAAATGTCGATAATGATTATCTCCAATGATTATTATAACAAATTTTTTTTTTCACGATATCATAATCTATATAAAAAAAACTCGAAAAAAAATTTTGTCACGAAAACAAAGCTTCCTCTATAAGGAAGCAAAATATTGTAACATTGCAAAATGATCCTATCTCGGCCTATTTAATATTAATTATAAATTGACAATTAATATTAATTAATGTATTAAACAGATAATTAATCTGTTTTGCTACAATAATTTATTAATTAAAATAATTAATTAGACTGATTAATATTGGCAAAATAATAGCTTAAGAAAACATATTAGCAATGTAATTGTATTAAAAATCAACATCACACACACAGTGTATCAATTGTATAATACAGTGTGTAATAGAGCGGTATAATTTTCATCTTTTTGTTCTGAAAACATATTCGTAAAAGAACTGTATTAGGCGAGTATTATGTTTGTAGCGTATAAACCGGAGCTGCGCGTTTATCGCATAAATAGACATTTGCTAATTAACATCGCGCTAGGTCGGTTGTTAGGGAATAATAAACGTGTTTAGCGTTATTTTGGAATTGAAATTGCTGATTATACACCGATGATTGAACTAAATTAATCAGAGGTATGAATTTATGATCCATACACATTATATTGACCTGTTTGCTTCATCAATAACGTCGCACGGTATAAACAAGGTACCTAAATATGCGCGATCTAATAGAAACTATTCGCACAACTGTTCAATCCGTCACATTTAATTAATGCAAACCAATGATAAATATTTAATTATTTACACGCCGCATTTTAAGACCTCTCTCGATGTATATCATACTTAATTGATATTTTGTTCTTTAATAGCATTTTTCTATTAACAATAGTCAGGATCTACATTTTTTACTTCAAGAGATATCCTGGATTATATTATTTCTTTCAAAAGTAAAAGTTTTTATTTAAGAAGGCATAAGAGAAAAGAAAGAGAGAGAATTAGGATACACTATTGAATGGATCATATCTTACGTAATTCTCTCAACGCTATACGAGTGCTTTCAAATTTTAAATTAATAATTTGTGGATTTAATGCCTTATATTACCACATTTTATAAAAGATCAGTTTCATTATTTTTTTTCGTTATATATACAGGGTGTATCTGAAATGATGCACTAAACTTTAGGAGCATATTCTAGAGGTCACTAAAATGAAAAAATAAAAACGTATTTCACACATTTTCGAATTTTAGCTCGGAGGGGGGTTTATTTGCGGACCCATGTTCATAAGAAAAAAAAGTCTTATTTTGACCTCTAGAATACGCTCCTAAAGTTTAGTGCATCATTTCAGATACACCCTGTATATTAATCTTGTATATATATGTCGCGTTTATTCAATCATTGCGTGTTTCCTCCAAATGCATTATTGCTTCAGCTCGAGGATATCTCTTCCGGCGATCGTTTCGTATCATACTTATTATTGTTATCTTCTTGTCACATGTTTCTAGAGCATCGTTAGCTGGTACGTTAGTTGGTCCGCATAAATATCGGCCCGAGACACGATGCTAGAAATGATTATCCTAAGTACGAACTGCGTCAATGCCGTTAGGCGATTACGATGATTTAGCCGCTGTAAATCAATTGCACGAGTTGCAATACCACGGTATATGAAATATATGGAATATTCTCTCTCTCTCTTAGCAAGATTTTAACATGATTTTAATCTGTGGGAGGAAATTATCTAATTGACGCGCTTATTCCATTACGAGATAATTAAATCCATGCTAATGAGTGAGCAATATGACACAATAATTACCAAATGCGGGTGAAATTGCATAACACATTGCAGATCTATTTTGTCGAATGGTAGCTTTTAATGTTACTCCCGTAATGCTCTGATGATATATCATTATCGATACAAAGCAATGGCAGAAGTACTGTCATTTTATTAATTATATTTTTGCGATTTGCTCAAAAGGAAATAATAATTGTTCAAATTTTATAACTCACCAACGTGAGTTATAGAATTCAAATTTAAATGTTGATTAAATAAAAGACAATTAATTAAAATATTGTCAAACTAAACCTTGATATCTTAGAGCAAAGAGATACATGGCTTCGTGTCGGAAATAAAATTTTTTCAATCGATTTTGATCCATTTATTTTTTGCAGGAGAGATGCGTTGTCGAATGACACCGTTTTTTCCACGTCAATATGAGTCTATCCGTGCAATTTATACGCGTTTGCCACGCACGATGTAGTCGATACTTTCGACAAAATAATAAGATCATATCAACTCAAGCGCGTGACGCGATAGAGATGACAATGTCGGGTGGACAAGTCGCCGCGATTCTACGTCGTGATATTCATTTTGCGCTCATGCTCGACACGCCGGCGACACTTATCCTGTCGACATTTCTATAGATTAAATCATGCTCGCGATGCGCGCAATAACGGTTCATAGGAAAACGGACCTGCGCTCCACTAACTCAACTAACAATAATCCGTGCATCGCGTGTAAATTTGCCTCTAGTGTGCTGTTATTAGTTTTAGCTTAGTTTCGTTTCGCGCTGATCCTCGATAATTTTGAACTGTATTACTATTGATATAATCGAATTTTAAGAACTCGAATTTGATCTATATATTTTCAAGACAAGTTTTATAAAATTTTTCTTATTTTCATAGCTCACTTTTCTCACTCGTCCTCATTTGATAAGAGGGCTCGATATCGAGAAGTATGAGAGCATCCATTACGGTTTTCTTGCTCATTTATTACAGATAGCCTAGATAGAAACATCTTCGCAAGTAGCGAGTCAAAGCTCCTTACCTATTCAGTTAACGAGACGACCGGGGAACGATAAGGCCACCTGTCAATTATGATCAGCTTTCTCACGGATGCCTCGGTCTACCGATACTGCATTTATGTATACTGCAGTCTGACGCTATGCATTCGTGATCTGCTTGTGAAAGGATCTATTTTCCTCGCCGCTAAGCGCGCTGGATATTCATCCACGTTAAAGATGCATATTAGGCTCGTGTAACGAGCATCGCTCGAAATACAAAGATCACGTGGCTACGGTGACATTTAGCGATCTATATGATATAGTTTGTAATTGTCAAGACGCACTGCCGTGCATCATACTGATATAAAAAATTTATACGCAATTTATTTAAATTTATATTTATTTTTTATATGATAATATAAAGAAACAAGCTGAAGATTGTGTAAATTAGAAACTTGCATATTGCTTCCTCATTATTTTATTTCGCTCACAGAGCTTAAGCTCCTTAAGCAAGCGGGTTTTTCAATTTTGGCTTCCTCATAGAAGAAGCTTTGTGAGTGAAATAAAAAGATAAAGAAGTAATGTGCTATTTTCTAATTTACACACTTTTTTATTAAAATTTAGAGATTATATTTTAAAAGTAGATAATAATTCAAAGTACGCGATACCATTACCATTTTCAGAAATATAAAAACTCACTTAAGAAACACTTAATGAACTTTATTATAAGAAAATATAACACGAAACATTGATGAACAGTTTAAAACAGTTTAACCCAATATCTCAAAATTTGCGAAAATTACATCGTGTACAGACATTTCTCAAAAAATTAGAAATTTTATAAAAAATTAATCCTTTCACCAAATTCAATACTAATCATCCTTTAATAATACTCTATCCGTGTAAAAAAATTTAACCCGATATCCCAAAATTTGCGAAAGTTACAAAATTTTATGAAAAATAAATCCTTTCACCGATTCTCACCAAATTTAATACCAACCATCCTTTAATAATACTCTATTCATGTAAAAAAAATTTAACCCGATATCTCAAAATTTGCGAAAGTTACAAAATTTTATGAAAAATAAATCCTTTCACCGATTCTCACCAAATTTAATACCAACCATCCTTTAATAATACTCTATTCATGTAAAAAAAATTTAACCCGATATCTTAAGAATTGAGGAAGTTAAAGGTTGTACAATACATTCCGTACATACATACATATATACATACAGACATTTTAAAAAAATATGATTTTTCGATGTTTTGGAACATTCTAAATACATTGCCATTAAAAACTCGAAAAAAAATTTTGTCGCAAAAATAAAGCTTCTTCTATGAGAAAGAAAAAAAGAATATACTAAATTTATAAAAGCAATATTAAAGTATATTTGTATTGATTATACAAATCTAATTATGTTTATATATATATATCACGATATTTAATCTGGATCCAACTATTATATTATATTATATTTGTATAACTAGGTTTATTTATTGCAAATGAATCATCTTCTGTTTGTAAGAAATATTATTTTATATATCAGTTGAAACTTTACGAAGAGTATAATACTCATGAATTTTTCTCTCGTCCGAGCAGAGAGGATACCTGCAGGGTGATACTTCGAGGAGATTAAAAGCCTCTCTATAAGCAAAGTGCAGTTGTGCTTTCACGTTACGTCTCTTTTATGCATAAAGTGCACGGGCAGACCGCAAATAGCCTTTGGACACTGCCGGGCACGGTAACGGTGTGCCTGATTGCGAGCGATATGTTCTCAGAGATATTGCTCGCTACGAACATCCTGGAGCGTTGTCGATGGTCACGTTTCCGCGATCCGGGCATCACGCTCCCTTTCTACTCTCTCGCTCGTTAGAATCTCTTCATGCCGTTTAAAAGTCACACTCCGCGTGCTTTCGCGGTAGAATATCTCCCGCAAAAGATAGATCCAATCCCGTTTTCAACGTACACCCTTATACATTAAACTCCATTTTCTTTGTTACATCGGAGTCTAATGTCTTTTTGCAAACGTATATAAATTTTTTCGAAAAGTAATATGTCTCTTTTTCTTTTTCAAAGCCCAAATAAATATTAACGGCATAAAATATATGAGCCTCGATTTTGAATTATTGACGTTCAATACAGTTTAACAATACAAATTAGACCTTTACACTTCGCAAACGATATCAGATTCCGTTTTGTTCTCGGTCTATCTTGTATCATTAAGAATATAAGGTACATTCTCTTACTTTGTTAAAGTCTCGAGGGAGGATGTGTATATCGTGCCACCGACGTCGATGTGGACCGGTGCGGTGTACCTCGAAGCGGCCGCCACACAAGGAATACCGGTCATCTTCTGGTTGTAAGTCGGGGCCGCCGGTGTCGGTGGTGTTGGCGACGAGGAATTCGACATTGTGGGCGAGGTGGCCGGCGAACTGCTTGGCGACAGCAATCTGAGAAAGATACTTTTGATATTAAGCATCATAAAATTGTGTGTATACGACTTTGGCTAATTATAGTTTTCTGAGATATTGTATTGCGTTACGCGATTTTCATGCTAGACTCACGAATGAATAAATGAAGGCCATAAATTCGCAAAATTTCCATTTTGTGTCATTAAAAATTCTCAGCAATTCATGAATTTGTGAATTATTAATCAAAGTTATGATATAAATTGAGATCCCTGATAACGCATTCATGTTTTTGGCATTCTGAATACAACTGTATTATGTGTACACGAATCTTTTCCAAATTGCGCAATTTTAATTTTAATGTTACATTAAATATTATAAATATAACTTTAAATAAAAAGCTAATATGAAACGAAGCTATAAAATCGCGAACGTTATGTGCATGATTTTATGACATATTGAATAAAATGAAGTTACATTTTGCAGAGAGAATTTCATTGAATCATGTTATATAATAATTCTTTTTCAGATAGATTTTATTCTAGAACTACTCGTGTAAACTTAAATTGGAATACTCGAATGAAGACTTATTTACCTCATTTTAATTTGAGCGCTAGGGAACATATTGCGTTGCGCCGTCAACTCAGCCTTCGCCTCCTTCCCATCGGCCTCACATTTCCGTCTGGAATTAAAAACATGTAAACGTTATTTATATGCATTGCTAGTAAACAAATTTTACGTAAATAGTATGTTGAATTTAAAATACACGAGTAATTGAGCTAAGACAGATATATATTTACATCTTTATATTTGCGATGATTAACGTAATTTGACAGCATTGTAAGATAAAATGATGAGGAAGCAATGTGCAAGTTTCTAATTTGCACAACTCTACTTGTTTTTTCATTCTTTATGCATTACTTTTTTCCGATATCATATTTTATCAATTCAATGCAGATAGCCAATCTTTTATTCAGCAATATGTCGATCAACAATAAAAGTGATTTTATCAAGTGCAACATCAATTTTTCTGTCTCCATTAAACTCCATCGTTTTTATATTTTACAATTATATAAAATATTTATTTATTTCTCCAATTAAGTAAAAATCTTGTGTAATGTTTACGATATGAATTATTGACATTAAAATTCAATCCAACATCCTTTTCATTTGTTCAGTGCTTATGCGTTTTATTTGAGTAACGTAGATGACAATTTAGTGTATCGATCGTCACGACTGCTTTTGGATGGCGATAATACTAGTTTAACAATCCATTGTTTTTGATCAAACATCGGGAATGTTGAATCGACCGAGGGCTTGGAACATTAACGCGAAATTCTCGTATGCATTAATAAGGCAATTAGGAGCGAAACAATATTTGGCGGGCGTTAGCATACCGACCGTCCAAGGGTATTCTTTTAAACGCGTTTCCAGCGGAAAGGGAGGGTCCGTTTTGTTCCACGAGTTAGAGGTACCCTCTCGAATTTTCATTACTATGTGCTCGCGAAAGGCCAGTTCATTATTAGCTATTATTCTAGTCTGCTTTTCATAGCTTCCGTAATGCGTGGTTTTTAGAGGCGTAATTAAGAGCATTAATTTTCTTGCCTAAAGAAGCTGACAAAAAATAATAAAATCATAAGATCTCGGTAATTTTAAAGAAAAATTATTGCTCTTGAAATATTTTTTTATATTTAAAGAGCTATTATTCAGGATGTAAAAATATATCATACTGATATGTAAATTAATATATCTAGAAGTCAATATACAGGGTGGGTCATCTGATATTATCATCTAGATTTAATATTAATATTAATATCTGTAGAGATAAATGGATAAAGTAAATTTGCATGGCTCTTTTTGTTTGACCCATCTCATGTCCCTCTTGAAACCATGCAACTTTAATCTATTTATCTCTACAGATATTAATATTAACGTAAATCAAGATGATAATATCAGATGATCCACCCTGTATATCTAAAACGTCGCGAAATTAATTAAAAAATTGCAACGTTTTGTCTTGAAATCCCATAATAATCATAAAACTGAAGAATGCAAGAGGGGAGAGATGCGTTTTATGGTCGCTTCAGCGACTTGTTTTCCATCGTCCGGCGAAGAATTCGCGACGGTCAGAAGACAGGGTACCACGGGGAGAACAGGAAGAGGAGGGAGGGGTACCGGTTCTCTCTTCCATCTACCACCCACCCTCGCCCACATCAGTCCGCACCGTTGCGGTGCATCGCCGCGGGAGATGCCGCGAAATGCGATGCAGCGCCTTTTCTCGGCCGCGCACACTGCGAGAGGTCGTCGGGCGATGCTTCTCTACCTGAAGTAGTGGGGAACGGCGGTCGTCGCAAGTCGGACATCGAGTTAAGGAATAGAGCAAGAGAGGTGGTGCGGCAGAGGCGGACAAGAGGAAAAGAGAGAGAGAGAGAGAGAGAGAGCAACAACGGCCATCACGGCCGCGCTGACGCCGCAGGCTAATCGCGAGATTTATGTAGGGCTCTATGCATTTACGAGTACAGAGAGACGCATACTTGCATAATTAACTCGCGTTATTGTTGTGATCTTTAGCGTCGATGAGGGATCGATCATAAAACAGCGCGGTAACACGTGTCGCCGGAATGGTTGCACACTGACGGCATCGCGTCGAAATTAATGAGTTTTGACGGCACTTCAATCATATTCTCCGTGTTTGAAAGTACGCTCGAATGCCAGATGTGGGCGAGATGAAAAATAACTCGTCGTCGTTGGATTAAACGGAGAAACTAACATCATATCATTAATTATTTTATTACACAATCCTTTCCAGTTTTTCCTTCTTTCAAAGGTTGTTGTACCAAGTTTTCATTAAACTTTTTTGTCTTTCATATCATTTTATCGGTAATACGTAAAATAAATAGAGAAATATGTGTGAGGCGGAAAAGATTAAATAATTTTGATACATTTTTATCACTGATGAGGTCACATAAATAGGATATCTTCGATTCGAGCATTGTTAAAACGGTGTTATTAGGTGTGCTTACAATACAGCGCTGAAATGATCGACAGTGCCGATGAAAGAAGAATCCGAGAAACGATACGGCTATAACAATAGCGATGATCATCATGGTCGTTGGAACGCCTCGGGGCGATTGGTTGGTATACGAATGTACATTACGGTCGATGTACTGAGGCCGCTCGGCGATTAATATTATGCGTAATTACACATGTAAAATCGATAATTAAAATTTAATATAGGAATTACTATTTGTAGAAATAATTTAAATAACTTGGTACACGTCATGTAGCTATTCTCGTGTGATAAGATTTAAATCACGATAAATCAAGATTTTCATCTCACGATTAAATCGTACGTGTTACTTTGCGCGCAAGAATACATCAAGACTTTCGCGTCGCGAGTTTAGAAAAGAAATCCTGGAATATGGAACCCAGGACGAATGTCGTGGTAACGATATATCCGCAATAATGTCTACCGCGACGTGACGATGCCTCGAGCCAATTGTATCACGTACGCAGATAGTTTTATTACATGCATACATCCGTATGCGTGCGCCAACGGGATAAAGATAAGTGGGAGAGAGACAGAGAATACATAATTATTGTGTATTATCTGCGCAACTGCTTGTGTACCAATACGACTTCTTCGTTAATAAATTGGCTTTACATGTACGACGATATCCGAGTAATTCTCAAGAGGATACTATGGCTTGCGATAAAGATCTCCGTTCATGCAGATTCGATACGTAATAAAAATTATTATCGCACAATAAACAATCGGTTAATAATTTAATAAAATAAATAATGATAAATTCACCCACACAATACTTTATATGTAGAATGTGTGTATGTGTGTGTGATGTCGCTGGAAAGAATAGTTTGCTTCATAAAGCGTTTTACGTTCATCGACGAATATTTTAGAGACAGATTCTTGACTTTATCTTAACAAAAATGTTGAAGGTAGGAATCATCATAAGTATTCAACTTTCAAAGTATTAAAATTCTTAAGAAATAGAATTCCATCTGAAATCAACCAAGAAAGAAAATCTTATTATTTTTTCACAATTGCAACACTTAACTTTTATCGAAGTTTTTTTACTTTTAATATAAAAAAGTTATCACCGTATATATAAATTACTACCAAAAAAGCATCAAATTAAAAATATTTTCCAAAAATGCAAAAATTATATCTAAAGTTATGCTTCAATCATTAGAAATCAATAGCAAGATTCGAATTGCCTATAATTTTGTGCAGCACGTGTGAGCATTGACAGATGTCATAAGATTGTCCAATGATTCCGTGTTATTTTAATGACAACTGTATACAAAGTAGACCGTACTAAAGAAGAGAAAATCCAAGCTTTATAAGTAATAGTCTGTCTCTAGATAGGCACGTGTCCGACGTCGCAGAGGCGAAAAGCGCTTCGCCAGGCGTGAAGATGCAACGTCGTCGCCTCTCGAACGTCAAATTAGAAAGGATGGCGAGGCAGAGGGATAAGAGACGCGGGGTGGTAGGTGATGCAAGTCGCGAAGACGTCGTCCGCAACGACACCATGATATTCGCATTATTACCCGAGGCCATCGAAGGCCTCTTACCCAGATACAGTTCTGATACGCACACGCGAACGAGAGCTACCACCGACACGCTGCAAAACGTATAAATTCGCGCACATGCGTTAAGGAAGGTGATCATAGCCCGCGGATACGAGATGAGGCGGCTCACGCGCGTTAAGAACGCGCGCGTGCACGATGTCGTGCGCAGAAGAAGGGCACTACTAACTTTACGTGGACGTTTAATGGCCTGGAGACGTCGACGTATGCAAATTTAAAAGCGCTCTGTTACATCGGGCAAACGATGTATCACCGGAAAAGTCTGCTACTAGAAAACGAGCTAACTTGTAGCAAGTCATTTTAGAGAAGGCCTGGAGACGTCGACGTATGCAAATTTAAAAGCGCTCTGTTACATCGGGCAAACGATGTATCATCGGAAAAGTCTGCTACTAGATGTGAAAACGAGCTAACTTGTAGCAAGTCATTTTAGAGAGAAGTTTGAAAAGCTTGCGTTACTTAGAAATTATATATAAACGATATAATCAATGAAATATGAAAAGTATTAATCCGCTATCTCTAATTTAATATATTTAAAATTCATAAATAACGGAGTAATTATTTGCGAGAGATAAGCTCTCGTATATAAATGTATCTCTTGTAGAAATTAAATTAAAATAAATAATCAACAAATATTTACATATAAAGAAAACGCGTGAAAAAGGAAATTACTTTTTATTTGGCAAACAGCTTATCTGATTAGGAAACCAGTGTGAGCGAAATGTCACATTTACGCGAGTTGACATTAACAAGACAAAATACTGAGCTTTCCTATGCGTAAATTTTAATTATTCAAACTGTTCTACCAATCTTTTCAAAAATCTGGCATGTTTATACTCGTGCGGGTACAAAGTTAAAATAACAGAGATATCAGATATCACAAAGTGATGAAATGATATCGCATGCGAATTCATTTAGACCATCCGACAGATTTTCCTCTGCTGATTTCATTATGTGGGCCAGTCAGATCGGCTCTCTCTCTGAATAATATTTGTAATGGAGAGCCATTTGCGAGCTCGTACGAACGTTCGCGAACCGCAATGTTATTAACGTTATAATCTAGAAAATGTAATCTTT